CAGAGCCTGACCATACTGGCATCTTGATCTCGGACTTCCATCCTCCAGAACTTTGAGAAAATAAATTTCTGTTGTTTAAGTCATCCAGTCTATGGTATTTTATTAAGGCAGCCTGAGCAGACTAAGACACCTGTGAATAGTCTTTTCTTTGCTTTTCTCCTGTCCGCTTCTGAAGCTACACTATTGGCCCAAAGGACTAGGTGAACACCTTGCACCAGAGCCATCTATGCAAATGCCAGTTCTTAATGAGTATAGAACCTTCTGGAAACTGTCAAGAAAATGCTAGGACCCTGATGACGAGATGATCACCCACAAAGACAAAGGCCTTCACCCACCTTCAAATGCTCTATCTTATTACCTGTCAGTAGATGACAGGCTGATGCAAAGTCCCAAAGATAGGGAGGCCAAGGGGTGAGCAGTGGGTGGAGGAGGCACCAGCATCCAACCCCACGTGGGACATCTGGGCATTTCAACCTGAGAGCATAGCAGACACAGAGGCTGAAATGTGTTCCCCCAGGCTCCTCACGTTGCTTCACAAACGCCACCCCCAAGCCCAGGGGCTCCGCGAGTGAAGAAGGTCTCTAGGACACCTATTACTCAGCTGCCTGGTACAGGAAGAACACTGGACCAGGAGTCAAAAGACTTGGTGTCTATAGATCAGCTCCTCAATTTGTAAGCTGGGGCCTTAGAGCAAGTTACTTAACCTCTCTGTGCCTGAATTTCCAATCTGTAAAGGATATCCACACCTCCCAAATTAGGTTATTATGGGGATCAGTGAGAGAACAAACAATGGTGGCTCTAAAAGGGCTGGTTTCCTTTCCTGTTTTTCCTGCCTCGGCCTCTGTATTTGCCCGTTTGCTGTTAATTTATAGATATTTCACAAAATTCACTGACTGGGGAGAAAAATCTTCCCCACTTTAAAAAAAAAAAAAGATGACATAGTTTTTTGGAAAGAATATGGCTCTTACGTCAGAAAAAAAAAAACATGTTAATGAGCCTGGGACATAGTAGGTGCTCAATGAATATTTGAGGAAGGGAGAAAGGAACTCCGCAGGAAGAATGAGTCCCTTTCTCATCAGGTTCCCGTGCCTTTGCTACAGTGCACATTCAGATATTTGGGGGTCCTATCCACACATGCCTATCTCTCTCTGGAGTTTTGAGCTCCACTAGGACAGGCACTGCCCAACACTGAGCCTGACCTTTGGCAAAGCTCAGCAAACTTGGGGTGAATGGAAAGAAAGCTTCGAATGCCTACACACTACATACACACAGACTGCCAGACTCAACAGAATGGTTTTCAGGCTGGCAGGAGGCTCCTGGCACCTGACTCTTTGAATACGGATGGCATGTGGGTATGTCAGAGTGTGATCCTACTTTAAGGAAATGACTAGTTTCAAAGACGTGAGAACAATCAATTTGATCCAATAAAATTCAGAAAAATACATTTTCCATTAACTGTTATCGATAGTGGCAAATTTGTGTGGTCACATTAGAAATATTGATATTTCTGCCTTCCAACAACCTCTTTAGTCATTGTTTGCATGGAGTATTTTTTCCTATCTTTGCACTTTATACCTTTCTTATCCTCATGCCTAAGGTGTGTCTCAATATGTAGCTGGTTTTCCGTTATTTATCCTGTCTGTCAATTTTTGTAGTTTGATGGCAATGTTTAGTTCATCTATATTTGATTTAATTACTAACATATTTAGTTTTGTTTTGCTTTGTTTTGTTTTTGGCCACGACGCATGGCTTGCAGGATCTTAGTTCCCCGACCAGGGATTGAACCTGGGCCCATGGCAGTGAAAGCACCGAGTCCTAACCACTGGACTGCCAGGGAATTCCCTCATATTTACGTTTAAAGCTACAATGTTTCTATTTCTTTTTCTATTTGCCTCACCTTCTTTGTTTTCTTTTGAAGTAATTATTTTCACATCATTTATCCCTCTAGTATTAGCTTGATATATATATACCCTAGAGATTATGTTATGGACAGAATTGTGTCCCCCTACCAAACTTATATGTTGAAGCTCCAACCCCCAGTGTGACTGTATTTGAAGACAGGACCTTTACAGAAGTAATTAAGGTTAAGTGAGGTCATAAGGATCTGACCTGATAGGATTGCTGTTCTTATAAGAAGAAACACCAGAGAGTTCTCTCTCTTTCTGACATCTGACGACAAAGGGAGAAGAGGGCCATCTAAAGAGAGCCCTCAGGGCTTCCCTGGTGGCGCAGTGGTTGAGAGTCCACCTGCCGATGCAGGGGACGCGGGTTCGTGCCCCATCCAGGAAGATCCCACACGCCATGGAGCGGCTGGGCCCGTGAGCCATGGCCACTGAGCCTGCGCGTCTGGAGCCTGTGCTCCGCAATGGGAGAGGCCACAACAGTGACAGGCTCACGTACCGCAAAGGAAAAAAAAAAAAACATAAAGAGAGCCCTCACTAGAACCTGACCATGCTGGCACCCTAATCTCTGACTTCCAATCTCCAGAACTGTGAGAAAATAAATTTCTGTTGTTTAAGCCATCCAGTCTATCTTATTTTGTTATGGTAGCCCAAGCACACTGAGACATTATAAAATGCATCTTAACTTATTAAAATAAAAAAAAATGATTCGTAATTTTACTAGTTCTTGAACAGTGTAAGAACCTTAACACATCTTAACTCTATTCACTCCCCTCCCATTTCTTGTTCTATTGCTGTCATACATTTTTATTCTTATATATATATATATATATATATATAGTTAAAACGTTTTTCTATATGTATTTAAAATCCCACAAGATATTATTTTGGTCAGATTTACCCACTTATTTTCTCTTTCTGCTGCTTTCTACATTCATTCCTTTTGGCATTTCTAAAGTTCCACTTATGACAATTTTCCCTCTGCCTAAAAGAATCTCCTTTAGTACTTCTTTTAGTAGATATCTGCTAGTAACAAATGCTCTCGTTTTTTGTCTATTTTAAGAATAACCTCATTTAACCTTCATTATTGATAAGTATTTTTATTGGTTAAAAAATTCCAGGGACTTCCCTGGTAGTCCAGTGGCTAAGACTCCATGCTCCCAATGCAGGGGGTCCAGGTTTGATCCCTGGTCAGGGAACTACATCTCACATGCCACAACTAAGAGTTTGTAGGTCACAACTAAAGACCCTGCATGCTGCAACTAAATACTCCCCATGCCACAACTAAGGATTCAACAAGCCACAACGAAGATCCCATCTAAAAAATTCTAGATTAGCTTTTCAGTGCTGTAAAGATGTTATTTCATTGTCTTCTGGCTTTCATGGTTTCTGTTAAAGTTAGCACTAAGTCTTAGGATAGTTCCAGTGAAGGTAATCTGTCATTTTACTTGGCTACTTTTAAGATTATCTCTTATTCTTTGATTTTTGGTAGTTTTACTCTGATGTGTCTAAGTGTGATGTTCTTTATATTTATACTGCTTAGGTCTCTAAAAGGATTCTTGAATCTGTGGATTTATGTCTTTCAACAACTTTGGAAAATTCCTGGCCATTATCTATTCAAATATTGCTTCTGTTCAATTCTCTCTCTCCCTGTCCTCTTCTGGGACTTCAACTACAATTATGTTAAAACCTTTTCACTATGTCCAAAATACGACATACTCTTTCTGTATTTTCCATTCTTTTGTCTCTTGATGCATCACTTTGGATATTTTTTCCTATCTTCCAATTCACTAATCCTCTCTTCATCTGTGTCTAATCTTCTTTGAACTCACCTGTTACTTTTAATTACACTTTTTCAGTTATAAAATTTCTATTGATTCTTTTTTTATATACTTCTATTACCTGTTGGAATTTTCCATTTTGTCTTTAATCCCCTTGAATGTATTGATCAGAGGTTATTCTATCTATATTTGTCTATATCTGATAACTCTAATAACTGGATTTCTGTGAGTCAGTTTATATTAACTATTTCTTCTCTTGGTTTAGGGTGACTTGGTCTTGTCTCCTGGTATGCCTAGTAAATTTTGATCAACAGCTACAGGTTGTACATGAAAAATTATAGAATCAATGTGGTATTGTGGATGATGCTATGTTTCTCCAGAGATTTTCTTTTGCTTTGTAATGCAGTTAGTATAGAGGCAGACCATCTTAATCTGGTTTGAGTCAAAGCTGTACCTTTGTGAGAGTTGGTCCTTTTTTGATTTGCCCTTACTACTGGTATAACCTTTCAAAGGTCCTAACCAAAAGCCTAGGATATTACCAGGGCCTCTCTGAGATTGCCAAAGCTTTGCTCAGCTTCTTAGCACTGAAATCACTGCCTTGAAGAGGCAGTGAAGAGGTAAATGCCTTGAAGGGAATAATAGTGCTGTTATGTACTAAATATTTGTGCCCCCCCATTCATATATTGAAGCCCTAGCCCCCAACGTGGTGATATAAGGAAATGAAACCTTGGGAAGGTAATTAGGTTCAGATGGCGTGATGAGGGTGTAGCCTCTATGATTGGATTAGTGCGCTTTTTTTTTTTTTTTTTTGGCTGTGTCGGGTCTTTGTAGTGGCATGCAGGGTCTTCGTTGCGGCAAGCAGGATCTTTTTGTTGCAGCGCACATGGGCTTCTCTCTAGTTGTGGTGCGCAGGTTTTCTCTCTCTAGTTGAGGCAAGTGGGCTCAGTAGTTGTGGTGTGCGGGCTTAGTTGCCCCGCGGAATGGGGGATCTTAGTTCCCCAACCAGGGATTGAACCCGCATCCCCTGCATTGGAAGGCGGATTCTTTACTACTGGATCACCAGGGAAGTCCCTGGATTAGTGCTTTTATAAGATGAGGAAGAGACACCAGAACTTCCTCTCTCTGCCATGTGAGGACACAGAGAGAAGGTGGCAATCTGCCAGCCAGCCCTCACAAAGAACCGAATCTGCTGACACCTTGATCTTGGACTTTTAGCCTCTATAACTGTTAGAAATAAATGTCTGTTGTTTAAGCCACCCAGTCTATGGTTTATTTTATAGCAGCCCAAGCTAAGACAAATGTCAAATGTCAGGCTCACCTTTCTATGTTTCCATTCTCTCCAGGATCTTGCCCTCTCAGGTTCTTACTGTCAGACATATTTTTTAAATTATCCAGCTGTTCTGCTTGTTTGAGGTGGGAGGTTTGGTTTGATCCAGGCTGGTGTTCAGAGCCAGAAGCAGAGGTCTCAACTATTCCTATAGCATAATTGCTCAGTTATAATGATGGTTAGCACAAAAATTCAGGTTTAGGGTATTAGCTTTGGTGTAATAAATTCCATCTGAGTGGGTTAAAAAGAAGTACACATTGGTTCAACTGATTGGAAAAAGTAGAAAATTATAGTTTTCTATTAAGGTAAATTATTCTAATTAAATGAATATAAGAAGCTTTTCAGCAATCACTGGAAACATACAATATATCACAGCTAATTTCCCAATATTTTTCCCACAGTGAAGTATACCTCTGGTTTATAGTAGTAAGAGTTAGAGGAGCTGCTAGCATTCCCAGCCCTCCACCAGGCTCTGGATCACACAGCTAGATGCAGCCAGATCCCTAAAAAGACAACATATTAGACTCAGCATGATAGCCCAAGCAAACTCATTCAACAAACATATAGCAACCAAATTTAAACAGTCTTATCTTACTTCTCCAGAAGTTTCAGAAATTGTCCTTTTAAAGTACAAACATCCACAAAAACTGAGAAGATGAAAACAGAAAAATAATTTTCCATAACAGAGTAGAGATGTGATACTGCCAACTACTTGTCAAATGACAATTGCTGTTTTAAGCTTTGACCCAACAGATGGTTCATGTCACATGGGTGAAAAGGCCATCAAAGCACAAAGTTCGACCTGTTTTGGCAGAGTATCAGGATGAACAATTAACCCAAAGGCCAGGATGCATGCTGAATATTGAATTGCATGTCCTACAGGAAGAGAGGGAAGATAAAAGCAGTTGGGAAGGCTGAGGGTATCGACTACAGGCACCCATGTTTTGATGAGCGAATGGCTCAACAAAATGGCTGGGCCTTGGTATAGCTTGGTATATCTACAGTTACTAAGTGAAATGCCTTGGGAACTAGATGGATGGAAATAAATCTATGAGCCCAAGAGACCAATCCCTAAGAAGGTTACAGACTGGTTAACACAATAATGCTTTGGCCTCCAAACACAACTGGGAGACTCAAGACCAACAGCTCAATTTGGATTGCTTCAGCTAACAAAATAAAGAATGATGACAGGAAGTCCATGGTGGTCTCTCAACTCCCTGGAGGGACACACAGAGAAGAAAAAGTTGATTACGGGCAGGTTATAACCACAGAATCTATTAGGATTAAATGGGTCCTCCACGTAGACCTAGTCTAACCACCTTATCTTATAGAAGATGAACTGACACCACTCAGGGAGCTCCTTTTCATCTGTCAGAACCCATATCAAACATCAATTCTTCTGCAAAGTCTTCCATGCTTCCATTTGGTGGCTTCCTTCTTTGTTATTTTCTAACCTGAAGTGTCAGCTCTCAAGCAGACAGAAGGTCCTCCATAGTGTTTCTTGAACGGACAAGTGAGAAATGACATGTGTAATTTCACAGAGCAAGACATGGGCCAGTCGTCCTGAGCTCCAACCCAGACAATTTAGTCAGGCTTCAAGGCAGGTTCCCAAGTTTGAAAACGCCCTGCAAAAAGTAAAAGATAAAAAAAATTTAAACATTAAAAAAAAAGAATAATAAAATGAACCACCATGTACTCATTACTAATATTCAACCTTGTTTCCATCTATACCTTCACCTACTTTCCTTACTACTACATAAAACTATTTAGATCTTTTTTTAAAAAAATAAATTTATTTATTTTTGGCTGCATTGGGTCTTTGTTGCTGCATGCGGACTTTCTCTAGTTGCAGTGAGCGGGGGCTGCTCTTCATTGTGGTGCGCGGGCTTCTCATTGCGGTGGTTCCTCTTGCGGAACATGGGCTCTAGCCACACGAGCTCAGTAGTTGTGGCTCATGGGCTCTAGGGCGCAGGCTCAGTAGTTGTGGCACACAGGCTTGGGTGCTCTGCTGCATGTGGGATCTTCCCAGACCAGTGATCGAACCTGTGTCCCCTGCATTGGCAGGTGGATTCTTAACCCCTGTGCCACCAGGAGAGTCCTACATAAAACTATTTAAAATAAAATCTAGATATCATATCATCTGTAAATATTTTAGCACATATTTCCAAAATACATCGAAAATGTTAAAATATTTTTAAATACTTAAAAATGTAACCATATTATCATTCTGAAATAATGTAATAATACTTTTTAAATATCAAATACCACACTGGTGTTCAAATTTACAAGTGTCCTGTGAATGCCACTTTTTTCTTTTTACCATTTATTTGATTTAGAATCTAAATGCAATATTTTCCTTGCAAGTCATTATTAAAGAACTGAGTCACTTGTAGTTTCACAAGATGTGGATAGTTTTGATTATGTTCCCGTAGTGTTGTTGATCCAGATGAGGCTTGATCAGATGCAGCTTTGATTTGTGTGGGGGCAGGGCTGTAAGGAGCGTCAAGATGACTTCAGAGTTTGTGCTGAGTTTTTCCATTAGCACATCATGTGGGTTCTCTCTTTTCAAGACTTAGTAGCCATAGCTGATCATGCCTAGATCCATTAATTAATTAGGAATACAAAATGGTGATGTTCTATCTTTCTTTCTTCATTTATTAACTGGAAATACTTTTACAAGGGGAAATTTCCCCTCATCTACCATCTGGCCACCCAAGCCCAATTTTAAAACAATTTAACCAAGACCATGCTTTCTCTCAAGTTAGAATCCTCTGCAGGAGGATGAACAGCTTTAAGCAAACCTTCATTTATTCTTTATTTTTTAGTCAAGAGTTAACTGAAAGACGGTGGGCCTGACGGCTGCAGAAAAGACCATCTCACTTGGTTCTGAGGACCTGCCTGCCCTGAGATTTTCTTTAGAAGCATTGCTCCCGGGTTTGTTCTAAAGGTCTACCCTTTCTCTTTGAAAATGTTTTCTCCTGTAATTAAGGGAGTTTCTAATTTAGAGAACCGATAAAAATTCATCAAACTTATATTTTAAAAAAGTCATAATCCTGAAGCTGCAAAGATCTGGCTCCAGGGAAATCCTGAATTGAGGAAAGATGCTAATCAGGACAGAATTTAAGACAACAGTTTATAATCTTTCATCCCCAGAACCGAGACTATCCCAAGGAAATGCCAAGTAAAAAAGTAAAATCGGCGATTGATTTTGCATTTTGAGAAACTGGCCAAGCTTTTTGATCAAATGCTGATTGCAAGCCTGATTCAAGGTTAAGCAGATAAGATAAAAGAGTCCTTCAGGGTACCCCCGCTTTCGGTGCCAGCATGCTACGATTTTGAAAAACCAGATTCTGGCAACCAGAGACCTCACTTGTTCCACCGCCGCAGAGGAAATGAAGGATGCTTCGCCTCCAGTTCCTGGCTCCTGTTGACATGCCCTCGGGTTCCTGCTGGCGCCAGGCTGGGAGGGAGAGTGGTACCTGTCGTACTGTCTGCAGAGGTTAAACGGAATCTCTACTCCTCGACTGAGGAAAGAAAGGCATCTTCCTCAATTTCGTGAGGCTGGGGGCCGTCGCGGTGATCCAGCTCGGTCCACCCCCCGGGGAAGCTGTCGGGGCAGCGGGCGCCCAGGCCTTCGTAGCCCCTCTTGTCTACTCCAGACCCCCAGGACTCAGGGCCTGGGAAAAATCCCGGTCTCTGTCGGGTCTCTCCCCATAGGCTTTCCCTTGGCTTCCTCGTGGTTTGCTAACTTTTGGTGTGGCCTTGGGACAGTCTGTGCCTCCGTTTTCCCAGCTGTAAAGTAATAAGGTTAGTCTGGACCCTTGATTCCCAGAATCACCCAGGAAGCTTTCCCAAAACCGTCTGTCAGGGTGGCCCTGGGGACTCACCGGAATGGAAAGAGGGGCCCCGGGGCTCGCGGCCCGGGCTGGAACCCAGGACCCGGGCTCTCCCGCCTCTCCAAGCGCTCCACCCATCGGCCTGCTCTCGCCCTCGGCCCGGGCGGGGTACTGCACGTTTCCGGGCGGGTTCCGGGAGGCTGGGGAGGGCGGACCCGGCTGGGCAGCCCCACCGGAAAGACTCGTTTTAGCCGGAGCAGGCGGAGGCCGGGCGGAAACAGACTTGTCGCCCCCACCTCGGGCCCTCCGGGTCCCCTGCCCCCAGCGCAGCCCCGCCGGACAAACGCCGGCCCGCAGCTGGGCAGCCCTGGGGTCACCCCTCCCACGCCAATCGCGCCCCCCCCCCAGGCCACACCTGGGCTCCGCCTCGGGTCCCGGGGCTCTGACTCCGCGGAGCTTCAATGGGGGAGGGGAGACCGACCAAGAAGGGGGTGGGCGCGACCCGAGAGGGGCCCCGTTGCCAAGAAACCGACCCCGCCTCGGGCTCTGGCCGCGAGCAGCCGCGGCGCAGCTGCTTCTTCCCCTCCCCCTACGTCATCCCGAGCAGCCCTGTAAGCTGCAGTGCTCAGGCGACCCCAGGCGGAGACCGGAACCTCGGACGGCGGCTCTGCGGGTGAAAGCCCTCGGGCACGCCAGCCGACGACCCCAGGCCCGCCCGCCCCGCGTGGGCCGCGAGCGCCGCGCCTCTGGGCCCCGGGTGGGGCCGTCCAGCCGGCGCAGTCACTCCACCTCCGTGGGCCGCAGCCTCCAAGTGGGGCGCTCGGGCTGAGCTGTGTGGCGGCGAGACTCGGGCCCATAACGAAGGCCCGGCTGAGTACGGGCGGGTCTGGGGTTAGTGGCTCAGATCAAATGGTCAGCTGGCGCGCGCAGGGCCCCCAGCTCCGCCCCGGGGGTGTCAGGGCACGAGGGAGGCCGGCCCCGCCCAGGCTGCAGCCCTGAGGAGCACTGACAAAGCATCTCCTCCTCTCGGGGCCTCTTGTCTGCCTTTCCTGCTGGGGAAGATTGGCACACCGAGGTCTCTGCCACAGCCTCCCTAGGGATACAACGATGCACGGGATCGGACATCCAGGCGTTTTACAGGCCTTCTGTGAGAACGGAAACCTAGACAGAAAACAGCCCTTTCTGGGAAGGCGCTCAGGTGACCAAGAGCGCACATCGACAACCGGCTCAGATCCCTGCTCGCCGCTCAAAACCTTTCTGGGAATTTAAGGCAGGCGAGGAGTGCAGATGGAAAAGTACGACTCCCCGGAAAATACCCACAGTAACCGCGAGCCTCTAAGAGCAAGTGCTGCTTAATTGTCAGGCTTGGTTTAGACGGAAACCAGTCTGGAGAGAAATGCCAAGTCCAAAGACCCAGACTTGAGCGCCAGATCTGTCCTGTCCCGTAATCCTGTGTGACTTGGTCAATATATTTAAAGTCTCTGAGCCTCACAGTGTTCTCATGCATAAAAAGAGCCCGCCCTACCTTACTTTCAGAGTACAGCTAGAACAAGTGGAGACAGCAAACATGACAACTCACTACTACCAGTTTTCTTAGCACCTGGAAAAAGAATGTACAACTGCCAAGGTTGCTGGGAGGGAGACTCCCATCCCTGAAGGAAGAGAACTTAAATAAGAACTTTATTTTTCCTTCTATAAAAGTACAATTCCATAGTAGAGAAGTGTAAAAATCGAGTCGTTAGAAGCCATTTACTGAGTTTTAACTTTCTCTTTTTATCAAAGAAATGGATGGAGGTTGGACAGGAATGCTGGTACTCTAGATGTGAGAGATTTAAGAGCATCAGTTATGGAATCACACATACCTGAATTGGAGTCCCGCCTCTGTTTACAAGCATTGTTACCTTAGATGAGTGACTTAACCTCTCTGAGCCTCAGATCTCTTAGCTATAAAATGGAGAAAATAATAGCACCAGAAAATAATAATATGGGGCTATTGAGAAAATTAAGTGAGATGAGTGTAACAGTGCTTGGCACAAGGCCCAGCACACTGTAGTGCAAGATGAATGCTAGCTAGCGCTTTTTCTCTTATTCACAGTGGTCCCTACTCTTTCCCTTACCAACATTCCATTGTGAAAAATGTCAAATATACAGAAAAATTCAAAGAATTGTACAGTAAACACCTGTGCATGTTCCACCTAGATGGTACAGTTAGTATTTACTATACTTGCTTCAACGTATCTGTTCATCTTCAAGCATCCAAGACTGTAAGAAATTAAATAGCTGTTGTTTAAGCCACCCAGTCTGTGGTAGTTTGTTATGGTAGCCCTAGCAAACAAACAGAACCCTTAGGATTAGATGAAAATTGGAGTTATCAGTGTAAATTCATGGTTTTCAATATACATTAAAATAGATATAAAAATAAATGCAGATGTAAATGTGTGTGTATTGTATAACTGTGTATGTATGTTTGCATGTCTGTATATGCATTCATGTACTTCCCATCTCTGTTCCCAGCCATGTTCGCTGAGAGTCCCTGGGAGCAATGACGTCCCAAAAGCCATACGTTCCCCTAGTGTCCAGATCTTGCTTTCTAAATACCATTCTCCATTAAAAGGGCAGGGCAGGGAAAGTACAAGATGAGCCTGGAATATCTTTGTGTGCCAGAAAATAAGCAAGTGCCCAAAGAATGATACAACATGTCAAACAGACACAGAAGGAGCTGCCACTGGCCAAATCTGGGGCCATTATGATCCATTGAATGAAAGAGAAATCCGTGAGTCCATACATTAATAAATGGGGAGAATGGTAGAATGCTTCCATATGGCAGAATGCCAACTATATAAGGAATAATGGAGTGAGAAAAGCATCATCTCACAACCAGCAGAGTAATTCATCCAAGAATCATCAGTGGATGCTAGAACTTGTAGGAGGAGGTTTGACGAGGAACAAGGTATTTAGTTTCAAAGGACCGCGCCCCCCACCGCCACACAAAAAGCGTTTATTAATTACAAAGGTAAAGAGTCATTCTGTAGTAAAGAAGCTTGGCAGATACAGATACACCTTAATCAAGTTACCATCATCAGTAATGGGACAAATCGAAATCAGGTGCCACCTGACAAGATGCACCTAGAGGAGCAGCCCCTGTGAACTTCCTGCCCAAAATACAAAACTGAATCTAAACCTGAGGGGACATCAATCAAACCAAACTGAGGGACAGTTACAAAATAACTGGCCCATAGCCTTCAAAAGTATTAAGGTCATGAAAGTCAAGGAAGGACTGGGGAACAGTAGAAACAGTTCCAGATTGAAGGAGACTAGAAGATGTGACAATTAAGTGCATCACAAGATTCTGGACTCAATCCTTCTGTATAAAGGATGTCATTGAAACAACTGGTGAAACTTGAATAAGGTCTGAGGAGTAGATGTGAGTAATGTATCAATGTTAATTTACCAGTTTTTCGCTATGTATTATGGTTATTTAGGAGAGTGTCTTTGTAGGAAATACACATTCAAGTTTTGGGGAGTGACAGGGTATCAAGCCAGCAACTTATTCTCATATTGTTCAAGAGTAGTGAAGTTCTTTATACCGTATTTGTCATTTTTCTGTAGATTTGCAATTATTTAAAAATAAAAATTATCTATAGAAGATATACAGATGGCAAATAAGCATATGAAAAGATGTTTAACATAATTTGTCATTAGGGAAATGCAAACTAAAACAACAATGCAGGGACTTCCCTAGTGGCACACTGGTTAAGAATCTGCCTGCCAATGCAGGGGACATGGGTTTGAGCCCTGGTCTGGGAAGATCCCACATGCCACGGAGCAACTGAGCCCATGTGCCACAACTACTCAGCCCTTGTGCCACAACTACTGAAGCCCATGTGCCTAGAGCCCGTGCTCTACAACAAGAGAAGCCACTGCAATGAGAAGCCCGCACACCACAGTGAAGAGTAGCCCCCGCTTGACACAACTAGAGAAAGCCTGCACACAGCAACAAAGACCCGACACAGCCAAAAATAAATAAATTTATTTATTTTTTAAAAATGCAATATTGCTACACACATATTAGAATGGCTAAATTCCAAAACACTGACATTACCCATTGCTGGTGAGAAAACGTGAAGCAACAAGAACGTATATTGCTGGTGGGAATGCAAAACCGTGCAGCCACTTTGGAAGACCATTTGGCAGCTTCTTGCAAAGTGAAACATAGTCTTACCATACGACCCAGTCATACTCCTAGGTATTTATCCAACTGATTTGAAAACTACGTCCACACAAAAGTCTGTCCATGAATATTTATAGTAAATTGATTCATAGTTACCCCAAACTGAAGCAACCAAGATGTTCTTCAGTAAGTGAAAGGATAAACAGTGGTAAATCCATTCAATGCAATACTATTTAGTGATAAAAAGGAATTAGCCGTGCAAAAATATGGGTGAATATTAAATGTCTATTGCTAAGTGAAAGAAGCCACTCTTAACAGGGTACAGATTTTATGATTCCATTTATATGACATTTTAGAAAAGGCAAAACTGTAGAGACAGTAGACAGATCAGTGGTTGCCAGGGGTTTGGAGAGGGAGGAGACTTGACTAAGATGAAGCACAGATGATTTTTTTTTTTTTAAGGCAGTGAAGCTATTCTATATGATGCTATAATAATGGATGCTATGCATTTATCAAACTCATAGAACTTTACAGAACAAAGAATGAACTTTAATTTGTGTAAATTTAAAAAATCATTTAGGAGGTTGGAGAATCCCAGGATTGAATAACGACAGAGAATTTAACTGTATTACCAATGGATGAAGTAACTTCACTGAAGGGAGCAGGAGAGTAACTTTAGAAATGAGTGGAGACTTAGGACTAAAAGCAAAAGGAACTGTACGTAAGTACTGAACTCTAGTTGATATAGTGTTTCCCATAGGGGTAAGGGTTAACAATTGTAAAACTACTCAATATATATAACAATTACATAAATGGATGGTGGATGGTTGGAGCCAGGTTTCTCACTAATGGAGTGTTAGTTTACACATAAGCAATAGGAGGAGATTAGAATGATCCATGCAGTAATAGATTAGAGTTGGAGATATCAGTATGAACTCCCGTTTAGCTTAATATAGATAAATATGGCTACATATAGAAATATTTAGAGATATGTGTGTACACAAGTTAGTATACACACATATATTTTCTTGCTCTGTCATTTGAGAGGCCCTAGAAGCAATAAGACCCTGGTAGCAATGAATGCACCTATTGCCCAGATTTTGGTTTCTATTATCACGCTCCAATAAAAAGGATCCAGGGCTCCTTGGAGAAATGGCTGATTCTAGGACTGGGATATACAAGATGAGCCTGGAGCATCTTATAGTGTTAGAAAGTAAGGAAGTTTCCATAAAGGCAAAGTTATGGAGGTATGTCAGAGACACAGGGACCAACTGAAAGAGCTCCCAATGGCAAAACTGGAGAAATTTGTTCAACAATAACCTAGTATTAGATTTTAACTCAAAGTATAATTTAAAAATATCCATGAGTCCATACTAAATAAATAAATAAATAAATAAATAAATAATTAATATTTAATAATTAATATTAAATAAATAAATTATTTAATAAATAAATTATTAAATAACTAATTGGGGTAGAATAGACAAATCTTTCATGCAGAAGAATTCCAAATAATTTATGGCTGTACTCTGCCCTAAGAAGGTGGAGCACACTCATCCACTCCTTAAGCATCATGACTTCCTTCCAAAA